GATAAAACAATGAGTCTAGTTGAAAATTCACAACAACAACAACATCAACATCAACATCAACAAAGCCTTATCCCACTAAGTGAGGTCGGTTATATATATATATATATATATATATATATATATATATACAGATTGCTTAAGGGAAGGGATCCCCAATTTTTGAAAAAAATGGGGATTAGGTGTGGGGCCCACTCCACATCGAATTTCAACGATCCGAATCGTCTATTTTGTTAGTCTCGATTCATAGATCATCCTTGCAAAAATTCAATTCAATCCGAAACCGTTTGCGTATTTAATTATCAAGATCAAATTTCATTTTTTCTTATATAACAAAGTATTCGTTCATTTCCTTGAACCCAATTAGATGTCTTAAACATTTCCGATTTAGCTAATATTTTACAAGGATGATCTATGAATCGAGACTAACAAAATAGACGGTTCGGATCGTTGAAATTCGATGTGAAGTGGGCCCCACACCTAATCCCCATTTTTTGAGTTCCCTTCCCTTAAGCAATCTGTATATATACATATATATATATGTATATATATATATATATATATATATATATATATATATATCCTAGAACGCCACTGTACTCGATTTTGTTAGAAGATACGATTATACAAGCAAATCAATTAAAGTTTTAAAAACGAAGGCTGGAGCTCCAACTCAATTCCAAAATTCAACTTCATCCCCAAAGTATTCGTCAACTAAAATCTGAAATCATATATCCTAGAACGCCACTGTACTCGATTTTGTTAGAAGATACGATTATACAAGCAAATCAATTAAAGTTTTAAAAACGAAGGCTGGAGCTCCAACTCAATTCCAAAATTCAACTTCATCCCCAAAGTATTCGTCAACTAAAATCTGAAATCGGACATTAACTCAATAATCCCTAAATTCCTAGGTTTAGGCCGTAAACCAGAATTTAGAAACAATAATCAGAAGAAAATAAACTAGAATAAGAAGAAGAATTGAGCAAAAAGAAGAAGAGAGAAGTGGAGGATCGAAGAAGAAGGAATTACAGTTACAGGTGAGGAAGGGAATGAGGAGCGGAGGAGCAGTGGAGCGCTGCAGTGTGGAGGAGGAAAGGCACTGTTGGCAGGACTGATGGAACAAAATGGGCTTTCGTAATCGGTACGAATAAGCATCGGTGCCCAGCAGAAAAATAATGCTTTGCCTACTTAATAAAACGTGAATCGAGATGGACGAATCTCAGTAAAATATTACCATCAGTTTATCTATTTGTTACAATTAATCAACTAAACAATCTTAATCTATCTATCTATCTATCTATCTATTTATCTATCTCTATTAATTAATGAAATCTTCTTTGTCAATAAAAAAAGGGTAAAAAGACTACTTAGTCTTCTATCACATAAAAAAATGATAGGTAATAATGTAATTTCACAAGTTCAAATTTTACTTTTTTTTATTGAAACCTCACCTACAGGTGATGTTAAAATACCTCCAATATTTAAAAAAAATAAAAAAATAAAAAACCTCCTACTCCCCTCACGTTCTCTCTCTCTCTCCTTCTCTCCTTCTCATTTTCTAAAAAAATGTGTTCATACACACGAAGTGTGTAGGCAAATGCTAGTCTATATTATTAAGAGAACCCCCATTGTCAACTTTCTTTCCTCTTTTTTTCTATTTTGCCCTCACTTTTGATACACACTATTGACAAAAGGAAGGGCAAAATAGTAATTTTATACCTTTTGACAAAATGACAATCATATCCCTATTTTACCCTTTTTTTTTTTTTTTAAGAAAATGACAATCATATACTTATTTTTCCAATTTTGCCTTCACTTTTGATACACAATATTTACATAAGGATAAAAAAAGAGAGAAAAAAATTTGACAAGGAGGCTTCTCTTAAGAACACTTTTGATACACAATATTTACATAAGGATGACAAAATAGGAAAAAAATGGGAAAAAAGTTGACAATGAGACTTCTCTTAATAATAGTACTAGCATATGGTCACACACTAAGTGTGTGAGAAATTTTTTTTATTTTTATTTTTGAAATAGAAGGAGAGAGGAACATAGTGATAGAGGATGTGGGAGTAGGAAGTTTTTATTTTTTTTTATTTTTTTATTTTTTTATTTTTTTTAATTAGAGATATGTTAGAATTACATGTAGGTGAGGTTTTGAAAAAAAAAATAGTAAAATTTGGTTGTGTGAAATTACATTTCTGCCCCATATTTCTTATTCATGTTATGTTTTAATTAGAAGGTTAAACTGATAATTTCATAGGATTTTAGTTGACAATGAGTATTTTATTAATTAGTATAGATAATAGTATAAAAAATGCACTTATTAAGAGAAAGGGGGAAAATGGTTGACAATGAAGCTTCTTTTAATAACACTTTTGATACACAATATTTACATAAAGGGGACAAAATAGGAAAAAAATGGGAAAAAAGTTGACAATGAGGCTTCTCTTAATAATAGTATAGAAAAAAATATGTACTTATTAAGAAAAATTGTTCACACATACAAAATATGTGTTCTCTACTAGTTTTAATTAATTTTTGACAAAAACGATCTTTAAAGAATAATTTATAATATTAATTGTTTCAATAAAAAACATGGAGGTTCGTCCTCCGATCATGGAACCTTTTGAGGAACTATTCCTTGTCTTTTATATATTAAGTAGCCAAAATTTTTCCCAACAAAGTTTAGTTATATTAAATTAATTAATTTAACCTATAAAACAGATAACTTATACTTTGCGCCCTAAAAAATCGGAATTGGATCCTCGCCGGATCTAAGGGCTGGGGATCCTAAGGATCAACCCACGTGAGCCGTTGATAAAAAATCGTGCGGTCATAATTAAATGATTTAAAAGTAAAACAGTCTCGTTTTACGTGAAAATATAAAAAAGAAAAAAATTGTGGCCGCACGATTTTTGATCAACGGCCCACGTGGGTTGATCCTTAGGATCCCCAGCCATTAGATCCGGCGAGGATCCAATTCCTAAAAAATCATATCATATAGCTTGTCATTCTGAAAATCAATTATACAAAGGACAAATAAACTTGTGCATCCCATACCGTGCTCATTCTGTTTGGCCATAAATAAATGATTGTATTCATAACATAGGCACTTGGGGTAGTGACCTTTTTTTACGAAGGATTTTAATTTGTAGTAATATAAATAAAATGGCCGGACATTGAGGTTTTCTCTATACAATTTTGGAGAGATAATTTGGCTAGAGTTCATGGAGATTTGCAGACTTTTCCATACAAAGTGTTTTTATTTATTTTTCTTCTTAATAGTATTTCCTGTGATTTTAATTATGAATATGCATAACTAATCTATTTTTCATACAAGGTGTTTTTAATCTTTTTCTTCTTAATAGTACTTCCTTTGATTTTAATTATGTATGCATATTTTGAATTGTTAATCATTGTGTTTAAACTAAGTGATTTTAATTATGTATGCATATTTTGAATTGTTAATCACTGTGTTTAAACTATCTCTATATCTTGATGCTTGATTATTATTAGGATGTTTAGATAAGTAATTACACGCAATTTCTTGGAATGCCACCAATAAATTGATGGATGCTCATTGTGATTAATAATTATAATTTCACTTAGGACGAATGCCACGTCTTACGGGTTGGATGGTTTTCCAAAGGTTTTCACAAAATATAATGAGTCATGCATGTTTACATTTGATCGGAATGCCAAAGATGGATTGCATGTTTGTATACATTCTATCTTGAATGCCACAAGTATAATATGCATTAGGAAAACCTAACATTCAAAGTTGCATGTGTAATTCATAAGTAGGTTCGCCGGATTGGTATTCCTTTTCACTTATAAGTGAGATGTCTTAAGTTCAATTCTCGTCAAAGGTGAATTTAAACCACATTATTAATAGCTCATTGTGAGGCTAAGCCTATTCTCCTCTCCTAATGTAGATAATATCATTTATTAAAAAAAAAATAAAAAATGGCAGAATCCTAGAGGATATATAGAAGTAGATATTGCACCCTCTTAGGAGTTATGATTACTTGTGGTGTACGCCAATTCCTACATTGTAGGAACTTCAAGACTTAAATGATCTGATTTTGTCCATATCCGGATCAAATCACGTATCTTACGGAACAAGCATGGTCATCATGCGGAGCTGCTAGTACTCTGCCTAATGCCCCCAAATAGTCATGCTGGCATCGCTACTCCATCTGAACTAGCTCCGTGAGTCCATGATCGAACTTCTGAGGTAATAGTATTCGGATTAGCCTTACTCAGTCCCTAGAAAATCATGGGCCGACACTTATAAATCATTTCTGATGGTTTTCTTTAAATTGAAACTGCCTTCAAATGTGTGCTTTGCCACAAATTCTGCAAAAACTTTCTTCCATATGTAATGTGATTCACCTCCAAGTGTTGATTCTTCTTTCTACGTTCAAAAGATAATTCATCTACAGTTTTTCAATTGGTGCAGGCACCTTTAAACATTAGAATTTTGATGAAATAAATGTTCACTAATACATTAAATTTCGACATGTCAAGGCTTACGTGGCACGCACCATGAGTCTCACATATCGTACACAAGGCATATGACTCATCAAAACTGGACGAGTCATCAAAAGTGACACGTGTCGACATTTGACTAAAATTAATTAAGGAATTCTCTTTATTAATTCTTTGATTAGTTTTAACTTAAATAAAGTAAATTTATCGATTTAAATTTAAAATATGATTGATTATCTAATTATTTATTATTTAATTTTTTTTGTCGAAGAATAGATGTTAGATTAAAGAGCCGTTGAAGTTCGAACCCACACTGTAGTACAAGGACAACACTCCTCTTTACCGTTGTGATAGAGGGCCACTTGCGATTATTTGATGAAGTCAAATCACGAACCACACCCTATGTTCGGATGTTGAGTAGAGGCTTCTAGTAATTAGCTTTGTAGCGCATGAACAATTCATCAGCACTATTATTGTCTGAAATTTTAACAAGGTAGCCCAAATAAAACATAAAACAAAAGATTATTCAAATTTCAATGTTGAAAAATAGATTCAATTCTGTGAGATACTTTTCACAAATCACATATAAGATTATCGCTCTTTTACTTCCATGTAAGTTGCCTATAGTATACAATCTCTACCTTAGCTCAATATAAATATATGCTTCCATCCGACAAGACGAAGACGATGATTAAGCGCATTCGGTGCCCACTCAATCGTCATTTGTATATCATTGTACAGAGAATGAACGATACACTCCGTTGCTGCAACTCCAAATCTGTAGAATCCAAGACCGACCCCTTGCAGACAAAAAGGGAATTACAACTTCTCAAAAAACTGTGCTGCCTACTTCTCAAGAGTTCTTAAAAAGTACGATTATCTCCGGGAGGCCAAGCCTTTTCCCATACTGGATAGCCAGCCAACCCGCAAAAGAAATGTATGCCACAAGTAAACAAGTGCGCCTGAAGCCGGTAGTAAGCACTCTTGCGGCTAAAATCTGAGGCAACCTAAATTTCATTTGCTGCAGGAGTCTAACAAAGATTATGGAGATAAAAGAAGTTAAAAACCCACTAATAACTCCAGCTATTGTTTCCCACCTCCATAACCCACCTCGTTTCTGGCTGACAATCCAGGAGTGTAAAATCTTTGTCGCCCTGAAATATAAGAGACACCGTTACTAAGTAAGACCATACAAGAACAAAATACAAAACACAAAACATAAACATAGGCTTTAATCAAGTTCTACTCCATTATCAGAACAGAGATATAGTGTCTCTATTTTTCAGTTTAGCTAATAGAATTAAATTCCTTCTTTGTCTAACTTTTATCAGAGGTGACAGGAAGAGGAAAGAAAAAGAAAGGCGGGTTACAATGGTTTAGTGCGTTGTCAAAAGCCTTCAACGAAAGATAGCATCACAACTGTTTCCACTTAATCCTCTATATACTACTATCAGGATAAAGTTTTCCTAAATAAGAAGAAATTGTTGATTGATATAATGTTCTATAGAATAAAGAACATAGGGATAGTCTGGACTCTGGAACATGAAAAATACTACCATCGCCCAAGGGAGAATTGTTGGACTAGTTAAGATTATCTCCTATGGGAGTGAATACTAAAGTGGATAAAGCTACAAATAAATTTACACGGTACAGTAAACACTAGAGATTATGAAAGGCTGGAACAATCATTTCGCTAAACAGATGGCCTGGCTACACAAGTGACAAATGTAAATGCAATAGATTGACATGGGACAAAGAGTGGACGAGACTAGAACTCTTTTGTAGGGAACAATCATAATGAGAGAGTACATGCACTATATAACAGTGACAACGAAGGTGCTGTCCTCTCTTTCTCAGATTTGCAACACAAATACTCCCTCCATTCCTTCAGAAGTTAGTCTTTTATGAAACTATGTGCCCATGTAGTGCAAGCAGAAGCATGAAAGATATTTTCCTTCTACAAGTTTTCTCTGCTGTCATGGTTCCACAGAACCTTTTTTACAGGTATGCAGCATCAGCTCCAACTGCTTCTTTTGATAAGAAAGCTGTGGCTTGTATGTATTTAAAATTTTAAGATACAAGTAATCATACACATACCATATTGACTCCGCCCAAACCACCTCGCCCATCACCACTGTTCTAATCAAATAGTAGATCGGAATTTCATTCGGAACTTTCATATATCGTTTCTTGAATTTTTATGATATTATTTCCATGTTTTCGGAACCAATATATCCATCCATGCTGATATATTACCTTCTTTTGAGATAAGCAATCTATCTAGAAAGGCTATCCTAACGTATTTATGTGATTAAGTGCAGTTATCTAAACACTCACATTTTGGAACTAATTTAGTCCATGAAACAATATCCATACAGATAGAACAAACTGATAAGCTAAAAGAAATAAGAAAAAAGTCAGTTTGCTCACAGGATGCGATATCTTGTAATCATCTCAAATGTAGACGGATCTTTAGCTTGGCAACTGAAGAAACCATCATGATATAAGCTAACTTTGGAAATGCCATACGTGTACCAGCAGTCATAAGTTTCATTGACCTAACAAACATGAGAAATTAAGAAAATTCTATCACGGAGTTAAAGAACCATAATGTTCAACTATGATGTTACTTCGATGGTAAAAGTGATATTCATATATATTAGTTTCAACCAGAATTCAAAAACGATTTTATGCTGACCACAGTGTAAACAATTGAAAGGCCTTGCACGATACCTTGAATTTATCTTTGGTCAACCATGCAGCACCAAAATTAGGTCTGCAATTAAGAGGAAGGGCCTCATTTGGAGCCTCAGCCAATGCAAGCTGAGTCTGACCGGAAGACTGATCTTTGTATTCCACCTGCAATCAGGAAACCCAAGAATTAATATTTGAATGAACAGACATGCAAAGCAGAAACTGCTACATACCATTGTCCAGTTCATGAAGTAGGAAATTACCTAAACAAGAAAAAGGGAAAAACAGAGAATTTGCTCTGAACCCCTTGGGTTTTATTCTGACACATGGAGTCTCTATAAAGTTTATCTTGTATTACTAGACATCTAGAAACAGATATAACTTGTGTTAATGTTTCGTGGTTTGACTCCAGTCAAGTTTATCAAGAATTAGAGGAACCATGGTAGCATGACCGTAAAGCATAATTTCTTTAAACTACACAACAGTGACTTTATCAGTTTACCTATAAAGCCCACTTGCCAATTACCAACTATTTTTCAAGAAAAGAAGGCTTCACAAATGCCATCCTACCACTACATAGAATCTTCATAGTACTCTTTTGGTTCACGGATAAACTGCACTTACCTCAAACTTGAAGAAAAACCTAACAGAGACGCACTCAAATCCAAATCTCTAACAAAATAAAGTTCCAACTACAAATTGTGTGTGGAAGCTAAAGCTATGCAATCAGAAATTGCAACTATGATTAGCATACAAACTGATTTAAAAAAACACAGGTTCGTGCTGATAAATATAGTTTGAAGTTTCACCGTAAGTTAGAGTACCTTAAAAATTGAAGCCCAGTAGTAATCATAACGGCATCGAAACCTTCTTCCTTGAAAAGGATAAAACACATGCTTGGCTTTATAATTGAACAGTCCAAGCTCACACACTTTAGAAGACTTAAGATCAACACCTGCAAAAATGAAAAACCGCTCCCACTCGATTATTATGATTTCGTGATCGATAATAAACTAACTACAGATCCTTGTGTTCCACAAACTTGACACATATCTACATAATTCTAACACAAAATGGTGATTCCAAATTTCCAACTAACAAATTTGCATTAAAATCATTATATATGCTATGCAACCACAGCAAAACAAGCTCCCTTTGTTACAGCTCAACAAACAAAAACAAATTTGAAGAACTCTATTCTGCAATTCGATTCTCATTTCCAAGTCAACAAACAGTGATTTTCAAGAACATCAAAATTATTTAAATAAATCAACTTACTGCTTGAGACGATCCTGCACTGAGAGGACACTGAAATTGAGCTCGGAATTGAAGAATTGGCGACGAAAACGGCGACGAAGGCGACCAACAGCGATAGTGAAAAGAAAGCAACGATAAGGAGAAGCAGACCCAGAGACCACCGGAGGATTAAATTGGCCACGCTGCCCTTCGCAGAGACCTCCTCAGAATCCATTAAGCTTGGTACTTGGCGTAAATTAAAGGGCATTCGTGGGGTTTTCTGCAAAAGGTCCAGCCACCGGAACCATTTATCCGGTGAATGGAAACCCCAGTCCAAGAGCACTGAACACAAGGAAGAAGAGGAATTATTGATTTTTTTTTTTTTGGAGTTTTAACAAACATTTTTAATAAAAAATTACATTTTTTTTATACTATTCAATACACCTCCATTTACCATTTTTCATTAAAACTAAAGTTTTTCTTTTTCAGATTTTTGTTAGTCCTTTTTTTCTTTTTTTTTTCTTTTTCGCTTCTTCTCTCTTCTTCTTCCATCATGTTTTCCCCTCTTAATTTGTTTATTCCCCCAGTGGCCTTTTACACAGTATTAAAAAGTGTTGAGCTTAAATTCTGTCTATGGTAGATTTAATATTTTAATCTAACAAAATTTATTGTTTGACAAAAAAAAAAAATATATATATATATAGGGTTTTTATCACAATGGTCCCTGAAATTGACCATCACCATCAAGATGATCTTTGAAATTAAAAATCAATCAATATAGTTCCTGAAAATAGATGTTGCAAATCAATGTAGTCCTTTCATCACAATTCTGTTAAAAATACCGTTAAGTGCTGATGTGGTACATAAATGGGCCCCATAAGATTTACGGATTTTTATCACAAACAATCTCTGAAATTGACTCACACCAACAATATGGTTCCTGAAATTGAAAATCAATCAATGTAGTCCTTGAAAATAGGTGTCACAAATCAAAATGATCATTCAAACACAATTCGGTAAAAAAAAAAATTGTTATGTGTTGACGTGGGTTTAATAATTAATTAAAAAGTTGTCTAAATACCTTTTTGTACAATGAATTTTTTTTTTCTTATAGTAGGGCCTACTCCGAAAAGAGATGCCTTCCATAAATTTTCAAAGACACAAGGTTTAACCAAGAGCTAAGAGGGGGAGTGGTAATAGTTTTCAACCAATAATCGACACATCTCGGTTATAACTTCATTATCTCAAGGCAGACCTCATCGTTCTTTGCATCACCAGACCATTAGGGAAGAGCCGAACAAGCTCTCCAAGATTAAGGTTGTTGATGCGCAAAATCAGTGAGGACTTTGGTAAGATGTTAAGTTTGTGACCTTCACTAGATTGCTCCGGTTACTAGTATGAATAAGTATGTAAATGGATAGGGACATAGAAGCAAACACAAGATGTACGTGATTTATCCAGATTGGCTACGACCAACAGCGATAGTGAAAAGAAAACAACGATAAGGAGAAGGAGACCCAGAGACCACCGGAGTATTAAATTGGTGTTGCAAATCAATGTGGTCATTCCGTTACAGTTCTGTTAAAAATACTATTAAGTGCTGATGTGGTACATAAATGGGCTCCATAAGATTTATAGATTTTTATCACAAACAATCTCGGAAATTGACTCACACCATCAAGATGATCTCTGAAATCCACCCACACCATCAATATGGTTCTTGAAATTGAAAATCAATCAATGTAGTCCTTGAAAATAGGTGTTGCAAATCAATATGATTATTCCACCACAATTCTGTAAAAAAAAATTGATATGTGTTGATGTGGGTTTAATAATTAATTAAAAAAGTTGTCTAAATACCTTTTTGTACAACGAATTTTTTTTTTCTTGTAGTAGGGCCTACTCCGAAGAAAGATCCCTTCCATAAATTCTCAAATACACAAGGTTTAACCAAGAGCTAAGAGGGGGAGTGGTAGTAGTTTTCAACCAATAATGGACGCATCTCGGTTATAACCTCATTATCTCAAAGCAGACCTCGTCGTTCTTTGCATCACCAGACCATTAGGGAAGAGCCGAACAAGCTCTCCAAAATTAAGGTTGTGAGGATGTTGATCGCCTAAATGTTAACGGTGATGTCTCAGAAGTCGTTGCGAATGGGCCAAGCCGTCACCATTGGTGATCTCGATCCAGGTTCTATTTGGTGAAAGGTGTCGAAGTGTGTAAAGATGAGTGTATTGAGATTTTTTTTAGAGAATAGATAGCAAATGAGGTATATAAATGTGGACTGGGATCAGAGTGATTGTAGGATTGGGTTTTTGGGTTGACAGTTTTTTTATTAACTGTTAAATTATTAAGCCTAATTGTAATTTTGTTAATTTAATTAGACTTGTGTGACCCGGTTATGTGTCACATGAGCACATAACAGAATATTTGACAGAATTGTGGCAGAAGAACTACATTGATTTAAGATGCTTATTTGTGGGACTACATTGATCAATTTTCAATTTCAGATACCATTTTGATGTCACAGGTCAATTTCAGGGACCATTTTGATGTTGTGGGTTAATTTCAAAGACCATTTGTGAGGAAAAAAAAGACTTATGATGACTATTTTTGTGCCATATCAGCACTTAACATATTTTTTTAACAGAATTATGACGGAATGACGACATTAATTTGCGATACTTATTTTTAGGGACTACATTGATTGATTTTCAATTTCAAGGACATCTTCATGGTGATAGTCAAGTTCAGGAACCATTTGTGATAAAAACCAAAAAATATATTTTGCGTAATTCTAAACTATCGTGTGAGTAAATTTTTAAATTAATAAAATATTACAATATAAAAAATATTTATTATGCTAATAGTATGGCGGCGGGTCTGCTGTCCCGAAATGCATGTCTTGTATGTGTTTTTTATTTAATTTTGGACACGTGTCCTTACATTTAACAAAGGACTGATGTTGTTACAATATCATAATTTCCATTTCAGGCCAATAAATCTTGTTGAAGGCTTGGAGAGCAACTCTATTGTGGATGTAATAGGTGTGGTATCATGACATCCATCAGTCCCCCTGCTTCTATAATGAGAAAAAACTGGCGTTGAGACTTAGAAGAGAACCCTCCAGTTGAAGTATATGTCTGGTCGTAGTTGAAGTAACTCTCTGGGGAAATTTGGGCAATTCAGAAGGGCAAAGACTGCAGAATATGTGTGATTTTTTGGTCTATTCCCAGTGCTTGCTGTAAAAGGTGGTAGAGTCAATGATTTCAATGGGAAGGTGATGGGGACCATTTCTACAAGTCAGCTTCTAATAGAGCCTAATATTGAGAAGGCTTATGAGGTGAGGAATTGGTTTGAGAAAGAAGGAAATAATACCCCATGTATCTTTATTTCCAGGGAAACGACAGGTGTGGGTAGAGCAGATATCCGAAAGACTCTATCCCAAATTAAAGATGAGAAGCTAGGGACTTTCGAGAAGCTAGATTGGATCACAGTTGGTGCAAGGATTTCATTTGTAAGGATTGATAGTTTATGTTATTTGACATGCCCAATCATGATTGGTGATCGGCAATGCAGCAAAAATGTTACAAATAATGAAGATGGAAATTAAAGATGTGAAAGATGTAGAATTATCAGAGAGATGGGCCATACGGCCCACTTCCAACAACACCGAAATTGTCCTCAACTTGGTAATTACCACCTGCACAATTCATTAGGTGTGGAGTTTTATCACAAAAGGCCACAATTCATTAGGTGTGGGAGCCAATGGGACTCACCTTACATGTGGGGCCAAGGGACCTACCATAATCGTGTGAGGTCAAGGGGACCCACCCATCACGTGGCAGTATAGTACGGGCCAGCTCCCTGACTCTGATACCATGTAAAATTATCAGAGAGACGGGCCATACAGGCCACTTCCAACAACACCGATATTGTCCCCAACTTGGTAATTACCACCTGCACAATCCGTCAGGTGTGAGGTTTTATCACAAAAGCCTTGGTGTTAGTTGGAGTGGGGTTAAGATATTTAAACTCATATTTTCTCATTGATACGGTCGATGTGGGACATTTCAACACTCAATGAGTTTGTAGAAGAATGCGACTACAGATATATACTCAAGTTACAGATACAAGACTATACTGGCTCAACATGGGTAACTTCATTTTCAAGTTGAAAGTAAAGGAGGAGATTTTTAGTGATGAACAACATGTAAAATCAACAGTTATCAAAGCAGAGAAGGTGAACTTTTCATCGGAGGCTGGAGTTCATTTTACAATTGATAGATAAGCTTAAGATGGAAAATATTAGTGCTTCTGCCTCCAAAATGGACAATGTAATGCCTACCGGAATGAGTGTTGCTAGATTTAGGAACGCTACAAGTAGACAGCCCACGGCAGCTGGGAATGTTGGTTACAGTAACAATGTCGGTAGAGAATTTGGAGCACCAAAAAATCAAGCACGTCACAATGGGAATTAGTATGGCAGTAAGTTTCTTTCAACGAGCTCTGTTGGTTAGTATCAAACATGTAATAGTTGTGGGGATACTGGCCATAGCTCAATGAACTGCCTAAGTGTAAAGAATGGCCCGGGACAGTCATCGGGAGTGGGCTATAGCAGTAGAGCGTCTTCTAGGCCCGGTATCAACAATACTTCAATTGAATGGTTCAAATGCCACTAACTTGGACATTGGGCGAGAGATTGTCCTGGGTTAGACACCACTACAGCTTATGGAAGTAGCAGAATCAACCCTAGGAGATATGGTGTTTCAAATCAGGAGCTCGGTCGTTTTTGAGGTTTGCTTGGACGAAGTTTGTACAATGTGATGGACGCTTGGTCAGTGTCCTTCGCTGGGTGTTGGATGTGCTTCTTGGTAATGGGATTTGAGTTATTGAACTTTTCCCTAGTCAGTAGAGGGTTGATCACGGACGAGTTGTTTCTCACCAAGAAAGGCATTTTGTAAAACTCTTTGTTCAATCATATATGGATTCGTTCGGATATACTTTTGAAATAGCTAAAAGTGCTTCCTAAGGCGTAAAGCGCTTTCATTTTGAAAAACAGTTGTTTGCAAAATTTTAAAAAATGCTTTGAATAAGAAGTAGAAGCACTTTGAGTGATTTTTATATGCCTAAACGGTCTCCCTTTTTCAATTTCAAAAGTCCAAAATGCCTATTGAAGTTCATAAAATGACAAAAGTCCAAGTTTCCAACCCCTTGAATTTCCTTTCCTCCATAAATTCACAAGAGAGAAGGTTTGAGGTAGCAAAATTTAGCCCTCCCTTTGAGTTATGTATATTATTGTTTGCCTGCCAAGGGAGCTTATACAAGAACAAGATGCAGACAGCCTTGCCGTCCACAACACTCGACAATCTTTTTTTTTTTTTGGGAGTTTTAAC